AGTGCAGAGCACATCTCTCCCATCACCCTCCCCCTCGGGACGCCGGACCGGCGGTCGTCAGCGCCACGACCACCAGCGCTCTCGGTACGCCAAGTAGGTACAGCGCTTTTCCAAGACTTCAGTCCCTTTCAAAAAAAAAGTTTTGTCTTGGTGCTGCAAAAAGCTCTTCACGATAAAAACTCAGTTTGATAATTTAAAAAAATCAATTAGGACGCTTTTGATAAAAACTTCGTGACGAAGAAAGTGAAGACAAAAGGAGTCGTCGTGGCCTAAAAGATCAGACGTCCGGTGCATTCGTATCTTGTGATGCACGGTGTTCGAATCCCGCAGGAGAGTAGCAATTTTTCTAATGAAATACGTACTTGACAAATGTTCACGATTTTTTTTCACGGGGCAACCGTTTTACTGTAAAAACGGAGACCTTAAAACTCATATCTCAAGGTAGGTGGCGACATTTACGTTGTAGATGTCTATGGGCTCCGGTAGTCACTTAACATCAGGTGAGCCATGAGCTCGTCCACTAACCTAATCCCGTTCAAATCCCGCAGTACTCGATGGTAGGCAGCGGCTTTGCTCTGCTCCTGGCATTGCCGACGTCCATGAGCGACGGTAACCGCTTACCATCATGCGGGCCGTATGCTCGTCTGCTTTCAAAATAAAATAGAAAGTTAACAAATATTGACGATTGACTTTCACAGTGAAGGAATAACTTCGTGTAATAAAAATCAAACACGTAAATGTTTCAATTACACAATTGTTCGTACTATCACAAAGAATGGAAAGCAGTCGGCGTCGCCCAAAACACGTCAAGTCGGGTGTGTGGGAGCAAACAAACTCTTCAAAGGCATTTTGCCTCTTAAGTACTGAATTATTTTCGTCAAGAAATTTGCTAAACTGTAAAAAAGGTAGAAGTTTGTTGGTGCAAGGTCTGATGAGTACAGGGCTTTGAGGCTGCGCCGCACACTACCTACCTGGCACCGTGAAGAGGGGACGACGCGTCGGCGACTGCGGCCTGCGATGCGGCCGCGACGATGTCGTCACTGTCGTCGCCGAACATACTGTGGAAGAGCAACCCCATCGGCGGTGTTTTGCGTTCCGATCCGGCAGCCCTGGTGGTTGGGCGTCCTAGGGGTGGTGTTTTTTTTTTCTCTTTTTGAAGTGAAACTTCCTTATCGGCGTTGGAAAAAAATTTACCGTCACATTTTTCGGTTACGCGTCACATTTTTCCGTTACGCGCCATCTTTTAATTAACGGCTGTATGTTCTGAAGTATGGATGCGCATTTGAGAAACCGACCTCATGTCTCAAGGTGGGTCACGGAATACATTTTGTAATTGCAATAATCCCAGGTAACCCACTTAATATCACGTGGACCGTGCTATTATTGTTATTACGTAAAATAATAGGAAGAAAAGTACCAGGGTATTATGATATCAAAGAGATGTATTATTATAACTTTACTCTGACGTACAGCCTTCTTTATTTTTTTCTATTGCTTGGGTGGGTGGACGAGCTCACAGTCCACCTGGTGTTAAGTGGTTACTGGAGCCCATAGACATCTACAACGTTAATACGCCACCCATTTTGAGATATACCTAAGTTCTAAGGTCTCAAGTATAGTTACAACGGCTGCCCCACCCTTCAAGCTGAAACACATTACTGCTTCACGGCAAAAATAGGCAGGGTGGTGGTACCCACCCGCGCGGACTCACAAGAGGTCCTACCACCAGTAATAACGTAAATTATAATTTTGCGGGTTTCATTTTTATTACACGATGTTATTCCTTTACCGTGGAAATCAATCGTGAACATTTGTTAGAGTACTTATTTTATTAGAAAAATTGGTACCCGCTTGAGATTCGAACACCGGTGCATCGCTCAACACGAATGCACCGGACGTCTTATCCGTTAGGCCACGACGACTTCAAATATCGACGTCTAGTTATAGTGTTGACCGCGGGAACTCCCTTACTCTGACCTGGTTCTGACCCCGGGTGGAGATCGGACGTCGGGTGTAAGAGTGCAGGGGAGTAGTGCGCTAGGGCCCTAAAACGTCCTTGGGTCCGCGGTCTGCTCCCAAAATCTGCAGATCAAGTCCCACATATCCCGCCCCCTAAGCGCGGAGACCTCGAAGGAGGTTCAGCCACGGCCCGAAAAAAAAAAGGTTTGATGAGTACGGTAGCCGAGGCAAAACTTTCAACCCTATCCATCCTAACCCAAACTTGTAGCTTAGAGACCGTCTGTTGTGCTAAATGAGCTGCTGCTACCTCAGAGATAGATTGAATATAGTGAGTTTCCATTATCGCCTTCAATTCGTTGTTGTTGACTTTAGTTTATTAACGACCATGGGGTTAATTTTTTAAATCAAAATTTCCATGGCTTAAGCGTTCAAAGCACCCATACGTATTTTACTATAATTTGTGACAAGAATTTTCACATTTGTGAACTTCATTAATAGGAGGCACAATTTCCACCACGTGGTTCGTCCGTAACATCGACCTGCACGACGACCTGGACCTAGAGTCCATCAGTAAGTATCCACAGTCGGCATTATATGTGTCGATAAAGCAGCACGATATGAGAATCTTCTCATTATGGCCGTCGGAAACTACATAGCCGATCCTACGGACCAAATGGTAAATAGTCGACTTGGTCCAAAACACGTCATTTCGGATCCTCCCGATCCACCAACGGTACTTTTAGGTACCCCAAGAACCGGTCATCATTCTCGTCGAACCCGTCACTTGCGACGAAGGGCTCGGCGAGTAAATTTACCCACAGCCCACTGAGTTTCTCGCCGGATCTTCTCAGTGGGTCGCGTTTCCGATACGGTGGTAGGTTCTGCAAAACAACACGGCTCTTGCTAGGGTTCGTGTTAGCAACATCAGCAACGTCAGGTTTGAGCCCCGTGAGCTCACCTACTAATTAAAGTTACGCTGATATGGTCTCTCTAGCTATCAGATGAGATGAAAAAAACCAATTTCCAAAAAAAACACTTATTACTTGGTACTTTTATTCTGATTATGTAATAATACGAGGGCTGCACTAAAAGTATCGGGAATAGAATATTTGCACTGTTCCTGTCATATTAAAATGTTTTTAATTGAAAACTCCTTGGTTTTAAAAATCGAATACCATTTATTTATTTAAAAAAAGATTCTCGGTCTTGTCACGAGGTTTTGTCAAACTTGTTTAGTCGTTGAGAAAATGGAATTGACTCGAGAAAATTCAAGAGCGATGATTTATTATGACTTTCGAAGTGGTTTAACACAAAAACAGTGTGTTGACCGGATGANGATTCGGCGCCAGCTCATAGAGCGAAGAGCACACAAGACTGGCTGGCGGCGCGTGAAATCGACTTCATCCGGCACGAAGACTGGCCCTCCTCCAGTCCAGATTTGAATCCGTTAGATTACAAGATATGGCAACACTTAGAGGAAAAGGCGTGCTCAAAGCCTCATCCCAATTTGGAGTCACTCAAGACATCCTTGATTAAGGCAGCCGTCGATATTGACATGGACCTCGTTCGTGCTGCGATAGACGACTGGCCGCGCAGATTGAAGGCCTGTATTCAAAATCACGAAGGTCATTTTGAATAAACTTTAGTGTCTTAAGAATCTATGTTTTGTTAAGTTCATTTTGGTATATGAATGGTTACATAATGAATAAACTTGTTTCAATTATTTTACATTAAACATGTGACAGAATTAATGACCAAACTAGGTAGTTATATAAAAAAAAAAAAATATTTGAATTTAAATTATTCTACGATAAAGCTCTTGCTAGAGCACTATCCGTATTAACGCTTACTCATTATGAAGTATATTATTATTAGGTACTAGCTGACCCGGCAGATTTTGTAGTGCCGCCGTCGATAAATAAAAGACCTAAACTTTTGTATAAAATAAACTTAAAAAAAACAAAAGGAATGCGTCCGACGGGCGACACATCAAAGGAATAACAAAATTGTTATTTTTATTTAATTCCGAGCATTTTCATATTTACCTACCTTTTAAACCCTCTCTGGACTTCCACAAATATTTCAAGACCAAAATTAGCCAAATCGGTTCAGCAGTCGAGTTTTAGCGAGACTAACGAACAGCAATTCATTTTTATATATAGAGATTATTATTATTATTGGGGCTCCATATTGAAATGTAAAATTATATCACATTCTGTATTTCCATGAAATCGAGTTTTGATTTTCAGACAACCAACGTACCGATGTTTCACAGGTCTTAACATCGATATCTTCTTATGCCGGCCACTCACATGCGCGCAAACATTCGTACATTATACGAATGTTTGCATGTGAAGGGCCGTCAAACATTCATTCGCAAACTTAGCGGCTGTGCAAATGGGTTCGGTACTCAATTTGCGAACCCGTTTGCGCTTCCTCCTACACTTGTTTACGAATGTCTCACGAATTTATCCTTTTTAATTCGTCAATAGAACATTGAAGAGAAAAAGAGTTTTGAATTCTTTCCCAGACATTATTAACAGCCATGCTGTTTTTATGGGATTTCTTTTGATGAAGATACGCTACACAGTAGACGTCAAGATCTATGAAAATAGCGAAACGTGCGTTGCCTTCGCAATCCTGGGCGCAACTGGTCACACGAATGTGTGGGACACTACGCGAAGGATCGCGGTTCGCGCGCTTTGATGTCTGTTAAAAAACCGACACAGCTTGGAAAACCACGAATGCAGCGAAAACTTTGCATAATCATTTGCAAATGTCGTCCTACACTTGCGGGTTTGCGTGTTCGTGCGAATGTGAGTGACCGGTATTCGACATGGATCCCGATATCTTAATGCCGGCCACTGATATGCGCGCAAATATTCATACATTGTACGAATGTTTGCGCGCATGTGAAGGGCCGTCAAACATTCATTCGCAAACCTAGCGGCTGTGCAAATGGGTTCGGTACTCAATTTGCGAACCCATTTGCGCTTCCTCCTACACTTGTTTACGAATGTCTCACGAATTTATCCTTTTTAATTCGTCAATAGAACATTGAAGAGAAAAAGAGTTTTGAATTCTTTCTCAGACATCATTAACAGCCATGCTGTTTTTATGGGATTTCTTTTGATGAAGATACGCTACACAGTAGACGTCACGAACTATGAAAATGGCGATACATCCGTTACCTTCGCAATCGTCGGCGCAACTGGGCAAGCGATTGTGTGGGAGACTACGCAAAGGTTCCAGGTTCGCACGCTTTGATGTCTGATAAAAAACCGACACAGCTTGGAAAACCACGAATGCAGCGAAAACTTTGCATAATCATTTGCAAATGTCGTCCTACACTTGCGGGTTTGCGTATTCGTGCGCATGTGAGTGACCGGTGTAAGGACCTGTAAATATTAAACCATAGATAACACATATTTAATACGGGTACCGTACTTAATAAACGGGAAATCCTTTTAGACAAAACAAAAACTTTTGTTCTTGTGCACTGTGTAAAGTTTTTTTTTTTTATCTAGGTATTTAATGAGAGAATTCTGACCATTCATTTAATGCATAATGTCATAGACTATACACTTAATATATTCGAGAATGTAGTTAGTTACACATTCATAATAATATAAACTAGTAAAATAATATAAAGTGTTTAGTCATAATAATTTAAACAAAACCCTAGTTTCTAGTGTTCTAGACGAATAGATTACGCCGAGTTTAACTAATAATTAAAATGTCTGATGAGGATGATTCCGATGTTGAAGCAAAATATTTCAAAGAAATAAGTGATGAAATACAGACTTTGAAAAAAAATCCAGAAACGTCTGGTATGTTTGTTTCTGGTTGGGACGACGCAGATCAGGATGTTGATTTGGTGAAAGATCCGAAAGGTAAAAAACGAATGTTAGAACTCCAAATTCATTCTAAAGAATTCATATTCTAAAGGAAAATAAGCCTTATCTTGTTCTATAGAATAGGAGGCATGGCGTACTCATACCAAGTTCTATCCCGCAGGCAGCTACCAATTTTTATCAAAGAATACATACTACCATGTGTTAACAAATTCCAAATAACAATAACAAAATCAAAACTTTGACATCATGTCAAGGTGGATCACAGCAATCATATTGTGATGTTAATGGGCTCTGGTAAATCCTGTCATTAGGTAGGCTGTAAGCTCTTAAACTCTTCAATGTGAGAAATTAAGCTTTATTTATGTGATCGAACTTAATTTCTGTCAAGGTGGATCACAGCAATCATATGATAATTGGCTCTGGTAAACCCTGTCATTAGGTAGGCTGTAAGCTCTTAAACTCTTGAATGTAAGAAATTAAGCTTTATTTATGTCTTGTATTGTCTCCTCTAATAGCAAATCCGATTGATCATGTATTATGGGCTGCAGAACACAATAAGCTAGACACTCTCAGAGAACTACTAGTTGCCAAACCAGGGCTTGTTCATTCAAGAGACTCCGATGGTTACACTCCACTACATCGAGCTGCTTATTCAAATCATTTGGATGCAATATCTTTACTGCTAAGTTTTGGAGCAAAGGTTAGCAGTAAATCTGAACTTGGTTGGACGCCATTACACTCTGCATGTAATTGGAATAATTATCATATTGTAGCAAGACTGTTGGCTGCAGGTGCAAATCCTGCTGCTCCTTCTGAAGGAGGTAATGACACTTCATTATATAATTTGGATTGAAACATAAATATACCAAACTGTAATGAAACAGTAGAATCTGATGTGTACATATTAAATATAGAATGAACTGTATTATTATTAAATAGTAATTATTTATTTTTCTCTAAAGAAGTGTAATAACATAGTTTCCATAGGGATGAGAAAATTAATTTGGATTTTGATTTGTTTCATTACAAGCAGCTGTTGTAAAAAAAGTTATAATAATTTAATGATTTTTTTATTCACCTTTATACAATTACATCACTTTAATTACACATTGAATTATATTGAAATAGGTTGGTGAACTAATTTTTTTAGATATAAATATGAATCATACTAGAACACTGGCTAACTTAGAAAAAAAAAAGGATCTACATCAAGGTGACACCCTGTATCTAAAATTATTCATAGTTATATTTAGGAGATATCTTCAGAGGGTTACATTAGGAGTATGGTTTAAAAGTTAAAGGCGAAAGATTCTCTCTTTTAAGATTTGCTGGCTACATAATATTAATTTTTGATACAACAAAAAATCATCTGCTCAAGAACCTAGAAACAGAAAGCTGTGTGGTTGGCCTCACAATAAATACTTCTAAAACTAAACTAATGACAAGTGCTATAGAACACCCACTCATCAAAAGTGATCCTATCAATTATGTGAATGAATATACTTATTTAGGTTTACAGATTTCATTGAAATATATTGTCAAAAGTTATCAAAGCATGTGGTTTTAAGTTTTTAATTTTTTTTCAGAACAAACTCCTCTTCATTTAGCTTCCCATCTTAGTCACTGCAAATCAACTTTACTCCTACTATTGTTACGCGAAGACTTAGTTGAGGTTGCAAGAAAACCGAACAATAGTGGGGAAACACCAGAACAGTTGGCTCGTGGTCATGGCATATATGCTCCTTTGTTTGAAATGGTTTCACCAGCATCATCATATGTTTCTTCTTTAGCTTTCACATGTAATCGTTATTTACAAACCAAATAAGTAAAATGATAATGTTTAAATAAAATTGTAAATATACATACCAGATGTTCGACATCTTTGTGTAGTTTTAATCTTGATGAAATAGTTTTTCTTAACTGAAACACTCAATTTCAATTTAGAATTATGCTATGATTTTCGATTTTCTTTACCTCGGGCTCAGGAAAACGATTTGGCGCAGCTCGAGTATCTGTGATTTTACTATTTGTGTAAGCGTATTACTATTTAATCTCCTGTTTACGATCCCCCTCTAATTTTCCGTCTTTTTTTCCTATCTAAGTTGATAGCCTTGAGAGGCTATTTCAGTGTAACCTTAACTAGTAGGTGAGCTCACGGGGCTCTAACCTGACGACGTTGCTAACAGAAACCCTAGCAAGAGCCGTGCTTCGCAGAATCTACCACCGGATCGGAAACGCGGCCTACTGAGAAGATCTGACGAGTAACTCAGTGAGCTGTGTCTGTGGGTTAATTTACTAGTCGAGCCCCACGATGACCGGTGCTTGAGGTACCTAAAAGCACCCTTAGTGGATCGGGAGGATCCGAAATGACGTGTTTTGGGCGACGCCGACTGCTTTCCATTCTTTCTGATAGTACGAATAAATGTGTAGTTGAAACATTTACGTGTTTGATTTTTATTACACGATGTTATTCCTTCACTGTGAAAGTCAATAGTCAATATTTGTTAACTTTCTATTTTATTTTGAAAGCAGACGAGCATACGGCCCGCATGATGGTAAGCGGTTACCGTCGCTCATGGATGTCGGCAATGCCAGGAGCAGAGCAAAACCGCTGCCTACCATTGAGTACTGCGGGATTTGAACGGGATTAGGTTAGTGGACGAGCTCATGGCTCACCTGATGTTAAGTGACTACCGGAGACCATAGACATCTACAACGTAAATGTCGCCACCTACCTTGAGATATGAGTTTTAAGGTCTCCGTTTTTACAGTAAAACGTTTGCCCCGTGGAAAAAATCGTGAACATTTGTCAAGTACGTATTTCATTAGAAAAATTGCTACTCTGCGGGATTCGAACACCGTGCATCACAAGATACGAATGCACCGGACGTCTGATCTTTTAGGCCACGAAGACTCCTTTTGTCTTCACTTTCTTCGTCACGAAGTTTTTATCAAAAGCGTCCTAATTGATTTTTTTAAATTATCAAATTGAGTTTTTATCGTGAAGAGCTTTTTGCAGCACCAAGACAAAACTTCTTTTTTGAAAGGGACTGAAGTCTTGGAAAAGCGCTGTACCTACTTGGCGTACCGAGAGCGCTGGTGGTCGTGGCGCTGACGACCGCCGGTCCGGCGTCCCGAGGGGGAGGGTGATGGGAGAGATGTGCTCTGCACTGAACGCTTCACTTTCCCCCCTCTGCCTCTTTATGAGTTCTGTCTCATGCGAGGTTTGGACGTTGGTTGTTGAGCGACAGGAGGTTTTAGTCAGTTCGACTCTGACATGCCCCGCCCTCCATCCCCAGTGTCCCCAGTGGAGGGCGGAAGTCCGGCGATTTCCTCCTGACAAAAAAAAACCTACTTGGCGTGTAGAGAGACTCTGAGATTATGTAGAAAAATAAATTATTAAGTTATCGATAGTCATTATATTCTATCTCATTTTTACTTTTTGATCCCTCTTAGTACTCGAAGCGAAACAGCGAACCGACCACCTGAACCGAAGCGAAAGAAATGAATTAAGAATTTTAAAGTGTCTTTAAGTGTTGAATAGTTTTAATTTATACTTTGGTAGAATTTTTGCACCGTGAAGAGGGGACGACGCGTCGGCGACTGCGGCCGCGACGATGTCGTCACTGTCGTCGCCGAACATACTGTGGAAGAGCAACCCCATCGGCGGTGTTTCGCGTTCCGATCCGGCAGCCCTGGTGTTCTGGGATACCCCGCTGGATTGGTGGTCGGGCGTCCTAGGGGTGGTCTTTTTTTTTTTTGTATCGCTTGGATGGGTGGACGAGCTCACAGCCCCCACCTGGTGTTAAGTGGTTACTGGAGCCCATAGACATCTACAACGTTAATGCGCCACTCATTTTGAGATATACCTAAGTTCTAAGGTCTCAAGTATAGTTACAACGGCTGCCCCACCCTTCAAGCCGAAACACATTACTGTTTCACGGCAGAAATAGGCAGGGTGGTGGTACCCACCCGCGCGGACTCACAAGAGGTCCAAAACACGTCATTTCGGATCCTCCCGATCCACCAACGGTACTTTTAGGTACCCCAAGCACCGGTCATCGTTCTCGTCGAACCCGTCACTTGCGACGAAGGGCTCGGCGAGTAAATTTACCCACAGCCCACTGAGTTTCTCGCCGGATCTTCTCAGTGGGTCGCGTTTCAGATACGGTGGTAGGTTCTGCAAAACACGGCTCTTGCTAGGGTTCGTGTTAGCAACATCAGCAACGTCAGGTTTGAGCCCCGTGAGCTCACCTACTAATTAAGGTTACGCTGATATGGTCTCTCTAGCTATCAGATGAGGTCAGGAAAAAAAGCAATTTCCAAAAAAAACACTTATTACTTGGTACTTTTATTCTGATTATGTAATAATAATAGGGGTAAAATGATGATCACGTTTTGATATCGAGGATGAAAGACAGCTTATGAAAGCATGAGAGAAATAAAATAAACCTTTGTTGTTTTATTTATTTAACAGTTTTGTGTAATCATAAAATATAAAAATTAGGTATAAAGTTAAAGTTCTAAATATATATATTTTTCTACAATAACTAACAAATAGTATTCTTAATTATTAGTATCATAATTTAGTAGTTTAGTAGATATTAAGATTATGTACATTCTTAACATTAAACATAATTCATGAAGTTGCTATAATATGGTCTGAAAGTTAAGTGATTCAGTGTTACGTTTCTATGTTATTTAAAAATTGAACTTTAATATTTAATTACATTTGACATTTCAGGATTCTTCGTTATTATTATCGCATTAGCTGGAAAAGTGATTAGTTTCTGTATGTTTTTTGTGTCATGTTTTCTAATACAAACATTGCAGCAGAAACTAAATAAGAGTCTGTGTGTAAATTTTTCAAGCTTGCTATTAGACTCCTCCTATCAATTTTTAACAATTCTGGTAATCCTTGTCTCGTTTTAGCAGTCATATACGGCAAAGTTAAGCAGCCAATTCCTAAACACTTGCATCTAAAACAATGCTTCCAAATTTCTATTAAATCATCGTCTTTAATAACTGGACACACCGGCAACAAGTTTACAGCATTTAAGCATCTTTCTTTTTGAGTTTCCGTTAAGGGATAATCTGCACGTTGAAATGGTGACAAAAGAACAGCACGCCACGCTACGCAGGTAAGACTAGTAGGAGGATTACTTGCCGACTTTAGTAATAAAACTAAAACTTCATCGTACAAATTCGTTTGCAATAAAAGCGGCATTATTTCTGAAATAACTTTCGGGGTACCATATCTAGTAGCTAATTGTGTTGTTATTTTAAGAGCTTCAGTATTCCCTTTTGCTGCGTTTAGAAGTAATTCCAATGCTCGTGTTTTATCGTGCATAAATGTTGGTATAACCCATGGCATATCTACATTTTCTAATTTTGTTGTAAACAACAAGTCCAAAAGTGACATCCAAAGTTCGTCTCTGTTCCGATTAGTAACTTTAATTGCTGTTTCAATATCTGTCACACTCATGAAACATTGAAGAGCTCTTAATTTCTTACATTTATTAAAATCACTTTCATCGTCAAAAGCTATTCTAGATAAATAAATAGCTCCCATTTTTGGACAAGTGGCTTTTAAAATATATTTCGCAGTTACCAACTCCTTAGTATTTAATGCTAAATTATTTATCAACTTATTCTCCTTTTCGGATTTTCTTAGAAGACTCTCTAAAAGTTGAATCCGTATGGAGCTTACATTAATGCCGTTCTTATCCGCAATTTCATTGGCAGCGCGATTTATATCGCAGTGAACCATTTTGTCTACAAATTTAGGATGAAGATACAAAGCCTGTATTAACTGTGCAGGTTCAGTTGTAAGTCGAAGTAGTTCGTCAGAAACCCACTTTATCTTGTACAAAGCATGTCTTGTTGATAATGTAGCATGGAGTCGTTCCATTTGACGTACTGCTCGGTTAACTGGTTGGAAAGCCGCCCAACGTTGTGCAAACTGATAGCAGAGCTGTGCTGCGGCGACTTGATCGGCTCCTCGAGAACAACCTTGCAGTACATAGAATAGACAAGCACCAGCCCACTCCATGTTAGCGATGTACCTCACACATTTATGAGCGGTACGAAGTAAAGGTTCTTCTTGGCTAATCAACCTCCATGACTCCAATTCCTTTTTATTAGAATCACCATCTTCAGAACGGACTCTGGCGGTCATCGTTTGTTTAAGGGCGTTACTGCAAATCATATCTCTAGCTGTTTGTAGGTCAGAATCTAGGGACAATAGAGGGACAACAGGCAACCATCGTTCATAGGTTTCTAAAGTGATTTCACATTTCAAGTTAGACCACATATCTTCTCTCATAAATAAATGGAAAGGTAGACGAATATAACCGATTTCTGGAAATATTCCTTTATCGGAAAACCATTCAAATTCATATTGCTTCGGACTGCTTATCCTTCGATAATCTTTCAAATAATTCAAAATTAAAAATTCCTTAAGATATTTTGTTTCGGATAGAGAACCAGCAATTAATTTGTGTATACACAAAAAAACTTCATAGTAGTATGGGTTTATTGAAATTAAGCGTCCGTGTAATGTAACTTCTCCATTTTTCCAAAAATCTGTTAAAATGTCTGTAATAAATACTTTGCTGGTAATGTTGTCCCATATCGTCAGACATTCCTGCAACTCTTTATCTTCGTTTTGTAATATTAAACGACGACACCCATATGCATCATGGGTGACTTTGTAATTTAAGCTCCACGCAGACAGTAACGAGATCAATTGCAAAGATAAACCATCGTCAATGACAATATTTAGGGTCTGACAAATATCTGATAGTCGTTCAAAATTTATGTCCGGATAATGTTTCAAAACGTAAAATAAGATAACCTTGACATCCCAAG